TTTTTTGTCTTTGAGTCAGGGTCTCACTATGCAGTTCAGGCTGGCCTTGAGCTCACTTTGTAGCCCAGGCTGGTCTCAAACTCGCAACGACTCTCCCTCTGCCTCCCAAGTACCACACCCGGCCCTCTCAGCCTCTAGAGTAGCTGATAGTACAAGTGTGTGCCACTGTGCCTGGCCACAAATGGCTTTTAAACATGTAAAAATCCTCAGTTTTGCTCATAATATGTTGAAATAAAAAGAACCCCAAAATACAATTTTTTGCTTAGCAGATTGGCAAAAATCCCAGTTTTTGGCCACTGACCATTGGTGAGGCTATGCATGCATTAACAGCTCCTGTCGCACCCTGCTGGGGAGACACAGAGGGTACAACCTTTGTGGTGGGGCATGTCACAGTATCCAGCCAGGTCTCTCATATCCTTTGGCGCAGCCACTCTACTTCTAGGATTGATGTCCAAGCATCCCCTGGAAAGATGTGTAAAGAATTCCTGCTTCAGCCGGGCGTGGTGGCGCATGCCTGTAATCCCAGCACTCAGGAGGCTGAGGCAGGAGGATCTTTGTGAGTTCGAGACAAGCCTGGGCTACAAAATGAGCTCAAGGCCAGCCTGAACTGCATAGTGAGACCCTGTCTCAAAAAAAAGACAAAAAAAAAAAAAGAATCCCTGCTTCAGGGTATGGTGACACACCTATAGTCCCTGGGACTCTCAAGACTGAGGAAGGAGAACCTCTTGAGGCCAGAAATTTGAGCCAAACCCAAGGAACAGACAAACACACAGAGACCCTGTCTTTAAAGAAAAAAAAAAAAAAAATTCCTGCCCTACCAGAAAACAGGTTGGGTTGCCAGGGCTGGTCCGTGAAGGAGCCAGGAGCCATCAGCCTGCACGGAGGGGCCACCTGTATCCAGCCTATCAAGCCTAGGAATAAATGACTTACACTTACATGAATTTGCATGTGTTATCCAGGAGGTCATGGAGACCTCGAAGGCCAAGCATATTAAAAATGCTTGCATTCAAAAGCTGGGTGTGGTGGTGCTCATCTGTAATCCCAGAATTCATCTGAGGCAGGAGCATTACTGAGTTTGAGGCCAACCTGGGTCACATAATGAGTTCAAGGCCAGCCTGACTACTGTAGCAAGATCCTGTTTCAAAAAAAAAAAAAATTCAATCAAACATTTTATTTTATTTTATTTTGTTTTGTTTTTGAGACAGGGTCTCACTATGCAGTTCAGGCTGGCCTTGAGCTCACTTTGTAGCCCAGGCTGGTCTTGAACTCACAACGATCCTCCTGCCTCAGCCTTCCGAGTGCTGGGATTACAGGCATGCGCCAGCATGCCCGGCTCAAGCAAACATTTTTAAAGAAGCTGGGGTGTAGCTCAGTGGCAGAGTGCTTGCTTAGCAGTACAGGAAGACCTGGGTTCCGAGTACTTCAGCAACAACAAAAAAACAAAAGGAAGAAGAAGAAAGAAGGAAAAGAAAAGAGGAAGAGAAGGAGAAGAAGAGGAAAGGTTTCCATGTATTGAACACAATTCACATAACTGGGGTTAGAAGGAAATCAAAAATCAGTGAAGTGCGGAGCTGGTATGACTAGAGGTAGTTGAGTCCACCAGCCACAGAACTTGTGGGAACCTTTTCACTTGGGTCCAGATTGACCACACAGAATGGGAAGCACAGCAGCCTCTGGAGCACCAGCCTTGTGATCAGGCAGCTCCGAAAATTCACAATTACTATACTTTTAGGCACAAAAAACAGACATTTCTCCAAATAAGGCTCTTTGAGCTGCTTCTAGAGGTAGGTGCAGCTCCTGGCTCCTGGCTCAATGAGAAGGAAAAGCAGCCTGCAGGTGCAGCTTCTGAAAGAGGGACAGGGAAGGCCATTAGTAGGCTGCAGGGGCTGGGGACAGCAGGGCACAGGATCCTGCCAAGGTGTGCGGTGCAAGTGACCGAAGGAGATGGAGTTCAAAGGAAATCGGGAGATTGGGAAGCTGTGTGGGGGTCAGTACCAAATGCGCCCACCCTGATCACGCCAGAATTGGAAGGTACAAGGGACAGACTGCGGACAGTCTCAGGAAGACATGAGGTATAGGAAGGTGGACTGGAACCACTGAGACCCCTCTCAACTGATGGAGAGAACCGGGCTTGAAAATGGGAAGAGCAGATCTGTGTGTGGCTGCACACTCCTGTGAGGCTCAAGTTCAAGGCCAAGTTCAAGGCCAGCTCGGGCACTAAGCAAGACCTTTTCTCAAAATAAAAGAGTTCAAAATGTAGCTCAATGATAGAGTGCTTGCCTGGTATGTGTGAGGTCCTGGGTTTTTTCCCCCAACACCCCAAAAATGAAAACGGAGGGGCAGAGAATCAGGATGAAGGAGAGAGAGGCTCTGGCCAATCTGTCCCTCCCAGGTTCCCTCCCTGACTCTTGGTCCTACCCCCTTGGGCCCTGGGCCCAGACATCAGCTCTGACTCAGCTGATGAAATGCAACCCCATGGCTCCCTAATTAGGAAGCTTGTAATTAGCCTGTCTCAGAAGCCAGAGCCTCCAGAGAAGGCCCCTTTCACCTGCCTTCCTCCTGCCACCCACAGGATGAGCTCAGACTGGGGAAGTGCTGGCCCCTGGGACCCTTGAGGTGAAGGGGAGCATGAGCACAGGGGCAATGAGATGCTGGGGCACGCACTTATACACGCAGAGGCCTCAGGAGGTGACCTCTCTAATGAGATGATGGAAAGATCCTAAGCAGCTTGAACCCTGTTTCCTCCACCATGTGCCCAGGGGCAGGCTGAGGTACCCCGGCCACATCTGCACGCTCAGGCTAAGCCCTGCAGGGCTGAGGCCCAGGCTTAGGTCCCCTCTTGGCTAACCCCAACCCCCATCTGCCACTGTTCGCTCTTCTTCTCGACACGCTGTGGGGAGGTCTGCCCCAGACCCCACCTTCTCTTCCTCTCAGGCCTCAGGCTGCTGTGATGACTGGAAATGACTGCTTGACCCTGACTTTGTGGTCTCTTCCTCTCCTGACCTGGGGCATCTTGTAGATGGCTGGCTAAGAGGATTAGCCCTGTGTGATTTCTGCAACTGTTGTAAGATGCTATATCTTCTGTTTTCTAGAACATTCTCCAATGTCTTAGTTACTTTTCTCCTTGCTGAGACATAATACCTGACACCCAGAGTTAAAAGAGGAAAAGTTTATAGAGGTTTATAGAGGAAAAGCTTGTAGAGGTTTTAGTCCATAATCAGCTGGCTCCAAGGCAGGGTAGCATGGGAGACAGGCATCACAGAATAGAAACAGTTCATGGTGGCCAGAGGCAGCAAAGCAACAAGGGACAACCAGGGCTCTTTTTTTTTTTGGTTTCGGTTTTTCTCCTGTATCGGGAACCGAACTCATGACCTTGTGCTTGCCAGGCAG